TTGCGGAGAAGGGCTGCACTCACTGATGATGCCGTCTACGATGCCGACGAAGCGTTTGAGAATGTACTAAGTTTACTGTCTAATGCTGGGAATTATGATAACTACTATGGCAGAGGACTTCGGACTAGGTGCGTTCTACTAAGTCGCCTTTACAACAAGACCAAGTTGCGACAACGAGGTTAACCCACTTCTATAATGAAACGACTGTTTGATTAGTAAATGGAGCTAAGGCAAGCAAGTTAGCCAGCTAACCAAATACACAAACACAGAAAAACTCATAAAAAATCCTAAGGCTGAAAATACTAATACTTAATAACAGAGAAAAAGAAAGTATATTGGGTGTTACATCTAATAACAGTAAATATTCAAAAGATATTTACATTTTAATAGTTTGGGTATACAAAAGGCACATACTTGATCAAGAACTAATTCACGGCGCAAAATGTTGCGTACGATCTGATTATAGATTAACTCAGTAGCAACGGGATCGGATCTTGAATCTTGCCAAGGAGCAAAATATTCTTTACGAAAAAATAGCTTCCAGGGCACAAGGTCAATATCATCTCCTTTTTCCCGAGTAAACTCATCGGCGAGACTTATTGCATCCATCACATATTCCTTTCCACAGCCAAGAGAAGTTAGCTAAGTTGAAAAATATTATAGTAAAGCCAAAAAAGATGAGCAATTATAGGTTCCGATCAAGCAGATGATAGTAATTATGTAAAAAGTGTCGATAGAGAAGTAATTCTATTTATCTTTACTTAAAATTTGAAGTAAAATAACAAAATCAGTTAAGGCTTCTCTTGAAAAGAAAAGGAATAGTAGTTTGAGTCTTCGACAGAAGGTTCAATATCGTACATCCTTAATTAAGTGACATTTTATGCAAATGAAATTAGGTGTCTTCACCCTTATTAGGCTTACGGTGATAAGAAGAATAGCAATTGAACTTCCACATAATGATATAAGCAAACCTAATATTTTCATTATATTTCACATAACTTTGCTTTCTCAAAAGGTATTCACATCTAGGTTGAACTGCGGTTTCTACCTGGCCTAGGTCTTATCAACAAGCTAAACAGGACTCGAACCATGACAATGTAGCGTATGATTTCGACACGTTAACTACCACGCCATATTGCCACAAGTGCTCTTCGTTTAGATGGCAGATGTGAATTTCAAGGAAAGCCGAACACTTCGCATATCACATTCGGTGGTGTATTGTCGATGAAGCTAAGCGAAATAGGGTGAAGACAAAATTTAACTTATCTACTGGTAGTCTCGAAAACCTACTTCTAAGCAAAAAATAATAAATGTAGTCTATTGCTAAGAAAATGCAACTTTGCTTAATCAACAATCCCACCACAGAATGTGATATGGGAAAATGCCTGGCCTTCTTTAGAATTCATATCTGCTCTGCGACCCAAGAATACTCGTGGCGATGTGGTGTTGTGATTAACGTGTCGAGATTACACGCTGCACTGCCATAGTTCGAGTCCGGCTGAGATTGGTGATAAGACCTATATATATATAGGTCTCTATATATATATATATATAGAGAGAGAGAGAGAGGAGAGAGAGTCTAGAAAACTGGAGAAAGCCGCGATACCTTTATTTTACGGATACTATAGCCAGATACATAAATCTTTTTGTAGCAAAGAATATATTTCAAAGAGTGAAGAGAGTCTTCATTAAATGTTGCTTTGACTAGCCAGAAAGTATGGAATACAAAAGTTGAAATCTTGAGTTAATTTTCCTTAATTAAGTAGAGGATCAAAGCTATGGCCCACCTTATCATATATGCCGATGAAGATAGCAAAGCCAAATGGGTCTTTTAGTCCAAGTATGCGAGCTACTTCGAAGCAGAGCTGACCAGCATTCATCATATTATTTACCAATATACTCAATGTACGTCCATCCATACAGGTGACCTGAATAGGACAGCCATATAAATCCATTTCTTCCATTTTTTTTAGGCCGTAAGCTATCTCTTTTGTTGGGTCCGAAGTAATATATTTATATCCATGTGCTCTATGCTTCCCAGACTCAGTTTGTCCGTTGCCGTTTATTTCATTGTATGCATTGATATCCTGCCTATTATTAATGTGATCGCCTTCGCACTTTGTGGAGGCCAGCTCAATTTCGATGTCAGGATGGAACGAATGATGACTAGATTGAAGCAATTTTTCGGCAGCATGAAACACACTTTTCGTTTCAGTCCAGCTTGGAGGCTGATTGCGTTGGAAGACTCCGGAAAGCCCAGTTACTCGATTTCGATTTAAATCACAGCCCTGTCTTGAGCAAAAGAGTATCGAGCCTGAAGTTGGGCATAAAAGGCAGTTCCTCATACGTTGAAGACAAAGCTTAAGCCAATGACTTGGAACGTGGATTGTGAGAAAACGATAGAGAGGGCGAATTAAACGTTCTGAAGGTGTGAAGCAACCTAAACAAAGGCATAGAAGTAGATAGCCTAAAATAGAAAAAAAAGATCCCATCAGATAAAGCTAGCAGTAGAAAGGCTAATTTTGTAAGTTCGTAAGCTTCCAACCATAAATAGTATTTAAAAAATAAATCTCTAAATTTTCTTTAAAAAATGAAGTTTGTGCTATAAGAAATTAGAATTACAAAATTTAATTATATAATATATAGTTATCGATGGGCTCTAATTACAAAATTGTCAAAAATCAATAATCTTTTGTATAGTTCAACTAAAAAACTCATTTGAACTTGAAAAGTATTTTTACAAAGTTGATCAAAATAAATCTTGATAAGCTTAACTAGTCAAGGGATCGGAAATTGTCAAGGATATGAAGAAGAACGGTCTTAAATCCAATATTTTGCTTACTTGGATAAACTCACTAAGAAAATTGGGATTACTTAACCTGTTTCAAGTTGTAAATATTGGTCAGACTTATTTCAATTGCATATAGCCACATACCAATACATTGATTCCGTTGAATTTTTGTAAATTCATGCACCTATGGACTCATGGCTAACGACAGTAGGCCTCATATTTCGAACGATAAAAAAATATTCTAGGCTTTAAACAGCCTTTAGGATATATATTTACTTTGCATAATTAATTTGCTTGGTAAAATTTCAAACCTAAATTTCATATCCTACATCAGATTAGGCCTGATCGGTGCTATTCTTATTTGTAGATTTAGCTTCTAAAACTAATAGCCAAAGTATAGCTGAAACCCAGGAACTCGATCAAACCTAAGTAAATCATCAAGCTAGGATTAGAAAAAAATATTTTTAAGATTGAAGATAAGGGTTTTTGCATCGTACGTAATTACGGAAGTAGCCAGTTGAAGATGTTTCCCATACAAATAATAGTTTCCCAACTGGCCAATGGCCTAGTTCATATTATTATATGAGCCCTTGAAATATGCAAGGCAGAGTGTCAGGCATAAGGCTAGCATTAAAAATATTGTAACAGTTAGCCAATATTCCTAATCATCTGTGTTTATAAATAAACCCCTAAAAATTTAGATCAATTTTGTTGTTCTAGTTTCGTTAGTGTGAAGTATCGGCATATGGCCTAAATAATATGAAAAATAAGAATGCTAGCACAAAAATATTTAATTGCCTTATTATTTTACGATGCTCTTTCTCCGCCAAATAGTAGATTTCGAAAATGCAATCACAAAAAACAATTGCAATAGCTAAGGATCAGAATAAAGACTATGACGTCAGAGGCAGAAATAGGCATCAAATAAATGAGTTAACTGACCTAATAAAAAGCAAACACGAAAGCAAGAGATCGAAAAATCTGCGGCTGATCAACATTTTCATGTCTGAATGAGTTTAAAACTAAATATTTTAATTGTGTAACAAACATAATTACAAGTAATATGATTATTGTATTCTTTCTAAAAACTACTACCGGTTAGAATAGCTGATCTTCCCATATTTGGGTTTAATAATAATCAATTACTGTCAATAAAAGTATTATAAAAAAATTGATCATCATAAGCGTATAGAATCTCATGGAGTTCTGTGACACTTCCATAATAAAATCTACCTTGTTCGCGGTTTCGAGGGCTTGGGTTACATGTCAATTGCTTGAGAATTTGACAAAAAATTTCATCTCGAAGCGAAGGACGCAAAATACCACTTGCAATTATTCGGTAACGCATTTGCAGATCAGCTAAACGTAGGACAATTGGAGCATCATAAACTGTTTTGTTCTGTGCTAAGAGATTCAGGTCACTAATATACACCAAAAATAGGAAGTCATTTTAATATAAAATTTACAACAAATTAGGAATAAAACAAAATACTGACTATTCGATTTGCTATATTAGGAAAAAATTAAATTTATTATGTATAAGTAGAGCATACTTTGAGTTTATGGGGTAAAACAGGTCTAGCTTCCAGAATCAGGGTAATCTGTGGTTGGCACATTAGTGTGCAGAAAAGAATACTTCTTTGACACTAAAGTAAGCCAATGGATAGGAAAGTGAAGTATGATTTGTCAAGAAAAATTAAAGGTTAGGCAATGATAATTATGATAATGCAAAAATTGTGCATACTTCTACTGACAAAATAATTAATGCGACGATAAATCATTTAAAGCTACATTCTGAACGAATGTCTAGCCTTAAAACAATTTTATTGTAATGCAAATAAACGGTAAGAGCATAAAAGGTTAGATGCAAACTCTATGAAATGAGGGATTATTATGTTTGGAGATATGGGAATGTTTGTATTTCTCAACATAATTGTCATAGGTTATACACAGGTAAGATTGATAATTATTAGGCTGACAAATGGAGACGGGAAAGCATAAACATTATAGTAATCCGTACCTAACCTCTTGGTCAGAGTCAAGTCAATATAGCTCGTCCTCTGAAGTCGTAGCTATAACTTTTGAGATCTAATTTTTGTAACCTTTATGGAAAGAACATAAAGAGCTTAGGCCTAGTGCCTTATATACGAAGAAAAGTTGGGTTTGGAGGAATCTCTTGTTTCATAATTGTTGACCTTACTTCCATTTCGAGTAGAAGTGTTGGGTGAAGAGATTCAAAGGTCGATTCCACCATAAGACGACGGCCGATTCCTCTTGACCAGCTGTCGATTAGCTTTACTAGAAGATTCATGCA